AGAGGTAAAACTAATTAGTGGCTGCCAGGAGACAGGGATGGGGGGAGCACAGGGAAGCTCCTTTGCAGTGATGGAACAGTTTTGTATCTTGATTTTCATGGTGGTTACACAAATACACGAATAAAATAGCATAGAACTATACATATGCACACATACAACTGCACACGAATACATATAGAAAAACAGTGAAAACTGAGTAAGGTCTGTAGTCTGGTTAACAGTACAGTATCATACTAATATAAATCTTCTGGCTTTGACACTGTACTACAGTTATGTATGATGTCACCTTTAAGGAAAGCTGGGTGAAGAATATAGGAACATCTATGTATTATTTCTGCAACTTCTTGTGATAATTGTTTCAAATTTTTTAAAAAGCTAAAAAAATGATGTGTTCAAATGCTTTTTAAAAAGAATCTTGAGTAGCAGAACAAGCTGTTGCTGTAGAAATGGAAGAACAATTTCTGATTTCATTTTTTTCCAACAGAATTACTCTCTATTGCATGTCTACCTATCATTTCTTTACTCTATTTTTCTTGAAGCTAACTAAATAAAAGCTTCTCAAGGACATAGGCTCTATTCTAGTAACCCCTTTCAGTGCCTACTGCAATACAGATGTTAAAAATAAAATACTAGTTTTGAATTGAGCAAGTTAGCTAATTCTGGCAGAATCCGATACATTTATAAAGAGAACTAGAGTTAAGTTACACTGACTGGTTTTGCGATCTTGGTTACTTACACCTCTCTGGACTTTGGGCTCCTCATCTATGGAATGAATATAATGAGTATTATGTGAGAAGACTGTTAGGAAAATTAAGTGAGTTAATGTATGTAAAGTACTTAGAAGAGTACCAGACAAATCAGAATAGCTCAATGTTATTTTTCTAAAAGATTTTAAAAATATGACTTTTAGGTGGATCCATTCTGATGAATCAAAATGATAATGATAATCTTCACTCTTTTTTTTTTAATTTATTTTTGAGACAGAGAGAGAGAGAGCAGGGGAGATACAGAGAGGAAGGGGACAGAGGATCCAAAGTGGGCTCTGTGCTGACAGCAGCGAGCCTGATGCAGGGCTCAAACTCACAAACCGTGAAATCATGACCTAAGCCAAAGTTGGACTGCTTAACTGACTGAGCCACCCAAGTGCCCCTAATCTTGACTCTTCTTAAAATGACAGTTTTGTATTCTCTCTTACCCACCTTTGCTTAAATGTCATCTCTACTCGGAAGCCTTACCCCACTTCCCAGAGAGGATGTATCACACTACAACCATCTAGCTATAGGCAAGACTGCTCTACTGTGCTAACTTTTATAATCTCTTGCACACAGTATAAATCCTGGCACAGAGTAGGTCAACAAATATTTGTGAATGAACCAACCACTGACATATTCCCATGGCAATTTTTACTTGCTACCATTAAGGAACTTGGTATATTGAATTATAATTATTTTCCCATTTGTCTCCTCCATTAGAGTGTAACCTTTTTGAGGCCAGGGCCCATGTCTCACTCATGTTTGCACCCTCAGTAACTAGCACAGTGAGTGGAACATTTATTAAAGATATGTACTGAGAGGCTACCATGGGCCAGGTATCGTTTTCCAGCAGTGGACAAGGCAGTCACAGTTTCTTATGGAATGACAATAAAGGATAATAAAAAGGGTAATTTTTATTGGGACTAATACTATGAAGACAATAAAGCATAACAATGCGACAGAGGAATAAGGAGAAGTACTAGTAGTCAGGCCTTTGTAAGGAAATGATACTTGAGCTCAGAACAAAATGGAGCCGGTCATGTTTAGGTCAGGAGTAAAGAGTCCCAAGTACAGGGAACAGCAAGTACAAAGGCTCTGAGATAGGAATCAGTTGGGTTTGTTTAAAAAAAAAAAAAAAAAAAAAAAAAAAAAAAAAAAAAAGGCAGGTGTGGCTGGCACATAGTAAACTAAGGAAAGAGAGGAGAAAAGGTCAAAGAAGCAGGTCAGGGCTGGAGCATGCAGGCTATCCTAAATTTAAACTCTATTCTAAGAGCACCACTGGAGGATTTTAAGCATGAAGTAACAGAATCTAGTTTACATTAAAAAAATTACATTGGCTGTTAAATGGTAAAGAAAAATTGTGGGGGATCATGAACTTCCTTCCACAGGCAGACAAGTTAGGAGACTATGCAGTGGGGTGGGGGGGCGGACGGCATGGAGGCAGTCAAGATGGACTGAAATAGACAGATGGGTGATAAATTTCAAAGACATGGCTGGCAGGACTTGCTACTGAACACGGGAAGTAGGGTGTGGGAAAGAAGAATCAAAGATGTCTCCTGGGGATCTGACTCGAACAAATTTACTAAAACGGGGAAAGAAGAGGAAATATCTACTATTCTGGACTAAGAAAGTTTCAGATGTCTATTAGATAACCAACTGGAAAAGTAGCACACAGCAGGCACTTGCTGCATACTTTTAAAAATTACCACTTTTGGGATAGACTCATCTACAAATCAAACATATAATACAGCATTCCAAATTTGGCTAACTCTATTTGCTGCTTCCAAGATAACAAAGATAAACAGAAAAGAGTAAGTGACTGAAAGGACCAGAGATCTCAGTTCATTTGATGAAATCTCATTTTTGCTATTATTGATGCTCCTTGACCCAGATTTTTAATATAAAGGTGCCAAATAACCTCCTGCGGCTTAGTGCCTCAGTTTCCTCAGCCATTAAACGAGAATAACAGTATCACCTATCTTGTATGGCAATCGCTTAGTGCCACATCTGGCATATATAAGTGCTCAATAAACATTACCTGTTATGTTCCAGACGGAATTTCCATTTAAAAAACATTAAAATGTTCTATTATTCAACACTCATTTTGGAACAACAGGAAAGTGTCTGTGTTTATATTTTATAGATGGCAAAGTGAGGTACAGAGACAGTTGAATGGAGCAGTACACTCAGGTGCATACAGTTAAAGTAGAGCAGACAGGCACCTGGCCATTCAGGCAACTCCAGTGATTTAAGGTACGATGCTGCTATCTCTTCTAAGAGTGGGTTTTTCTTTCACTTTTTTTTTTAAAGAAGTAAAAAAGGAATAGTGCTTTGTGACAAAAGTCATAAGAAAGTCAAGGATGAATGCAGAGAGATCTGCATGTTGTAAAAAAGGCCTCTTGACCCTTAACTTTTCTCTGTAAAGTGAAGGGAAATACATTAAGTGCAAATTCATTTTGTGAAGCCAACTGTATGGGAACAGCTGATCGGGTAACGCTCAGGTTTGAAATGATTTTCACTAACTTAGCTAAGAATGGAAATAAGTACTTCACATCCCCCAACCCCTTTTCACTCTTATTCCTTTAGAAACGTCATAATAGTTTTTTCCTTCCATTCTTTTACAAGCAAATTTATAGCATTCATAAAATTTTAGACTAAGTCAGAAGGAAACTGAGAGGATATCTAATATATTCTTTCATTTTAAGGTAAAGAATGAGGCCCAGAAGGGAACTGACGAAAATGAAATGAAAGCCAAAGTGGCCTGGGACCAAGTGTCCTAATGCCTCACGGGTTACTCTTCCCACTACAAGGGTATCAAATGCCGGGCCAGGCAGTCACCAGAGCTCCTCTGTGTCTATGACAGCCATCATCCATCATGTCACTACTTCCTTCTGAGCCTTAACCCTTTGGAGTCCTAAACCACACTTAAGCTAGCTGCTGCCAGTGATGGTGGCCACGCCTCTAGTGATCTAGTAAATATAAACACCAGATTTCCTGCTTAAAATATCAAGACCTTTTCTCCCTTCCATTCTGCCTTTTGAATTTTAGAAATAATTAAACTTTTCTGGGCAGTAATGTTTTTTTTAGGGAAATATCTAAATTCTACACACTGAAAATGTGGCTGGAGACTGTGAAATAAACTCACTTTGTCTAAAATTTAAAAATAAATATAAGCAAAAGTAATCTATGGTGACAAAAATCAGAAAGTGGTTGCTCAGGGCCAGGGAATGACTGGGAAGAAGCAGGAGAAAACTTTCTGGGGTGACAGAGATGTCCTCTATCTTGAGAAGGACACAGTCAGACTATACACAAGATCTGTGCATCTCACTGTTTGTAAACTGTATCTTTTAAAAACAATCTAAATACTCATGCAGAAAATTCAGATTTTAAAATTCTCATCCAAAGAAGGGACTTGAACTGCAGTTCAGCTGATGAAAGGCAATGACCAAACTCAGAGATCGTTCAAAGTCAAGCTACACATTTCTGTTCCAACTACTCATGAGAATAATACCCACTAGACCAGAACTTGTGTATATGGAGGGCAAGTGAAGAGCTTCCTTTCAGGATATGCTGATGAATGGATTCTGTCTTAAAATAGGAAAGAAAGTGTTATTTAAGAACTGTGTACACTCCTATGATAACATATCCACCACTCTCCATGGTCTACTAAAATGCATTTAGAATTTAATAACAGAACTTCATCCTAAAGACCACAGAGAACTTAAGATGATAAGGAAAGTAAGCTTGAACACAGTGCAGTAATTATGTTTTTAGATTTTTATTTTCTGTATTATTCTCCTATAAAACTTGGGTGTGTGTAACATTCTGCCCACTGCATTCCATATCTGGTAACACAGTCTTGACAAAAAACAAGAAGAGTACTGAAAAGGAATAAAAAATTGGCTCTCCTCTGGCTGATAAGCACATGATGTTGGCTCAGGAACCATAGGTGAGTAGGAAGACAAATTGGTTAAAGACACTGCTCTGTTAGGGCTTATCACAAGAGGAGGGGGGGAGAAGAGGGCAAATTTAGAGTTTAAGTTACAGCTAGAAAGGGAAGACAAATTTCTCACCTCTTTCAGCAAAGTGCATTGCATGATAAATTTTAGCATATGATCATAAAAAGGTCCAGTATAGAATCTGGCATACTGATAAAGGGTAGCTGTGTAAGAAAACACTATGTTCCATTACTAATGAAAGACCCACAGGAGACTGACTGTCCCTCTCCTTAGTGATGGTCATACATACCAAATCTGGCTTCACTCGGTGAGTCAGGGGAAAGGAGAGCCACATAGAGTACAAAGTGGTGAGCACTGTGGACAGCCAGGACTGCTGAACCTCCCGGCTTCTGGGAATGCGGTGAATAAAGTATTCGGGAAACTAGAAGGAAAATAGTAACAATCCAAGTCAACCGGGCCATTGATAACCAAGGTAAACACAGCAACAGTTAATGCTTGTAGACACAGGTCATGCTTTATTTAAAATTTTCATTCTAGGGGCGCCTGGGTGGCGCAGTCGGTTAAGCGTCCGACTTCAGCCAGGTCATGATCTCGCGGTCCGTCAGTTCGAGCCCCGCGTCGGGCTCTGGGCTGATGGCTCAGAGCCTGGGGCCTGTTTCCGATTCTGTGTCTCCCTCTCTCTCTGCCCCTCCCCCGTTCATGCTCTGTCTCTCTCTGTCCCAAAAATAAATAAACGTTGAAAAAAAAAATTAAAAAAAAAAATTTTCATTCTAACTACTTGTAAATTAAGTTACAAAGCCCTTCCCATGCTTTATACGACACACATCATCAGGTTATGACAGAAAAGTTCCTAAATACCATTAAAAATGTTAAAGTTGGTGTTGACAATAAGTTGGGATAAATTTTCTACAAAATATGTTTTAGGCAAAGAGGTTAACATGCTGATACACAAATTGTTCTTACAAACCAACATGTAAGGCAAATAATCTAATACCAAGATGGCCAAAGAAGATGGACAGAGAACCCCAAACAGAAGAAACTCAAACAGCCAATAAACACAAAAAGATGGTTAATAATTAAACATAAAAGAAAGCAATAAATCATTTTTTACTTACCCAATTGTCAAAGACCATGGTTACCCAGTGTTTTTTGAGGGTGCTGGGAAATAGACACTTACATTCCCTGGTACAACTTTTGCTTACAGCTTTTTGTGAGGGCAATCCAAAAATATCTATCAGAATTTTAAGTGTGTCTACTTTTGATCCACATTTCTGTTTCCAGAAATATATCCCACAGATTCACCTACATGCTTATTCACTGTATCATGCATTGTATTTGTGGAAATCAGAGACAGCCCAAATATCCTCCAATAGGAAATGGAGATGTTCACAACAAAATATATGAAGATAAATTAACAAATGACAGATTTATATGAGCTTACATGGAAGATGTGCCAAGCTAAATTGTTAAAAAGAATATGCAAGTGGCAGGACAGTATGTTTAATACGGTCCAGGGTGTATTAACAAATAACAACACGTGTGTTGGTATACACAGATGTACACATATTCGTATCTGCTCAGAGAAAATCTGGAACTATTCACCATAAACTGCAAAGAGGGGATATTTTTATTTTCCAGGTCATGTATGTCCACACTTAAAATTTGCAACAAGCATGTACTGTTACTTTCATAATAAAAGAAATGAACATTTCTCCTTGAATCAAAGTTCTTGGTATAGTTGTTATCTTTTGCTATGTAACAGATTACCTCCAAACCCAGTAGCTTGAAACAACAAATATTTTTGTTTCTAACTTTCTGGGGGGTCAGGAATCCAGAAGCGGTTTAGCAGGGTTATTATGGTTTGGAATCTCTCATGAAATTGAAGTCAAGTTGTTGGCTGGGGCTGCAGTCATCTGACGGCTTGACTGGGGCTGGAGGATCCACTTCTAAGGTGGCTCACTCACATGGCTGGCAATTTAGTGCTGGTTTTTAGCAGAAGATCTTACTTCTTTGCTACATGGACTTTTCCATAGGGCTACTTGGGTGTTCTCATTACACAGCAACTAGCTTCCCAAAAGCAAGTGATTCGAGAGAGGGAAAGGCAGACACCACAATGTCTTTTATGACCTAACCTCAGAAGTCACACTTTGTCATTTGCACAAAGTCCTACTGGTTACATAGGTCAACCCTATTTAATATGAAAGGGACTACACAGGGGGCTTGAAACCCTGGGGGTTTCTTGGAGCTTGGCTACACAGGTTAAGTCAGACAGTAAAGGACTAAGTATTTAATACACTCTTCTCCCCATCCCCCTATTGGCTTAGAGGTACAATATACTCCTTGAGAAAATAGAAAAGGCTTTTCCTAAACTAGTGGAAGACATACAATTATTGGTCCTGAGACTGTGTGTTTAGAAAAAGATATGAAATTGTGTCTGGAGGCTTTTGTTGAGCCTCCAGTATGAGCCTCCAGTATGAGCCTTCCTCATATTCCAGGAAGGCATGAGTATAGTTCTTATATATACTGCACAAAATGCAAATGTACTACACATGTGACTACTTTGTTTCACATGTGACTGTAAAGACTATTTCCTCCTCCTTTCATGTTACACCAGTGGAGAAGGAGAGATCTGGATTCAATATATTATTCACTATTTCTATTTATTCATCATTTATTAAACCAACACTGTTTTTCCTTCCAAAGGATTAAAGTACTAAATGTTGAACTAGAAAATAATACCGAATAGTTCCCAAACTACAGAGCAAACAGGGAGCAGTAAATAACCAAGTGGGGACAAACCTGTGAGGTGTTTTCTTTGAGATCTGTGCTTGCCTAATTTATGATTATTAATTGGAAAACACATAACTGGCAAAACCGTACTATGAGCCAAAATCCCTCATCAGAAAACTTTTGGGTCAGAAGTATTTTTAACAGGTAATATGGGGCATCCTTGGAAGTTTGGGGGAAGTAACCAAACATATTAATATCTCTGCAGCAAAACATGAATATTCACACTAACAAGGATAAATAAAGACTATAAGCCTTAGGCCAATTCAAATCAGGTTTTGCTGCCAAAGGTGTGACAAACTTCAGATCCCCTCCATCCCCCAGTTTTCATAACTTTTTGGTAATTTAGATATGGGATTGTGGAACTTGTACTGCAAAACACATTTGAATCCAATAAGATGTCATTGCTACTATTACAGCAAAAATAACCCAGTAGGGTCTCATTCTAAAGGTTTTTTGGATGTTACTTCCCAGTTTTGAGGCCTGATCTCCGTATCTATAAAAATTTCTTCAAAAATGCATGGGTGTTTATAATGTCCCTTGAATCTCTTAAAGCTGCAAGCATATAACTTTGTAAAGAAGCAATGTGCAATATTTCTGGATATTTTTAGTGTCTTGAGGGGCTGGAGGCAGTTTGACTAAGGCTCTAGCAGCCCAACTCCTCAGATTCCATCTGCGCTCCAGAGGGGCAAACACACAGGCCTGGTAGGGAGGGGTTTTTCAAGGGCGTCTGTCTGGGTCTGAAGACGGCAGTCTCAGACTAGGACATGGAAAAAGAGACTACATCTCATCCCAGAAAGCAGCTTGAAGAAGCAGAGAAGATGGGTTTAGGAAGTCTTGTCCATTCTCAGAGGAGGAACAGAAACTAGTAGTGGGATGTTCTGGGGTGGAGACTGAGGGACTTCCAAGACGGAAACTAGAAAACAGGCCTGAGGGTGAAAAACAAGGCTAGTGACCAGCATGATGGCCTCTGCTTCTGGAGGTGCATGCAAGAAGCCTGACCTCAGCCTCCAGATCAGATGCCAGGCTGAGGAGCGGAGTCCCAGTTCCACTTGTGGCTGGAGCTAACTGGGCCAATGATCACACACCTACAGTGGCCGATCACCCAGTTTGCAGAGGAGAGTCCCAGTATAATTATTAACAGTGCCTCTTCTGCTCTCAGAAATGTCCCAGTTGAAATGATAAACTATGTAGTGACCCATAGGGCAGGACAATGAGTAGGTTCTTCCAAGTCACAGGGAAAGAAATTTATTCAGAACAGCAGGAGGCAACATGATGGGAGAATCTGCATTACCATTAAGGATAAGAGTGTAAGTGGTAGCTGGGAAGAAAGCCAAGCTGAAAGTTCTGTCAGTGAGATAAACAGGAAAAGAGTCAGGTGATGATGAACTCGGGGAAGGACAGTGATGAGGAGCTAGACAAGGGATCAGAACCATGACCCTGACTGGCAGGGACAGGACAGTCCACAGAGTCCACAGCTCTATACTGGAGAGGCCCTCCAGCTCCAGATCCCATCCAAATCTTGCCTACATTATCATTTTTTTGATAAGAAGTTCAGATAATTGGAAATCCTACCCAAAAGATTTCTCTCTAAATCCAAGTCTCTCACCACCCATTCCCCCACTACAGCAGGCCAGTTCTCCTTAGACACACCTTCCCGACTAACCTTTCTAAGATACCCCCACCCCACGTGTACCCGGACTCTTCCTTCCCCCATGGACAGGCTTGCTCTACGTTTTTGTTTTTGTATTTTGGGCTTTTTTTTTTTGAGAGAGAGAGAGAGAGAGAGAGAGAGAGAAGCAGGGAGGAGGAAAGAGAATCTTAAGCAGGCTCCACTATCAGCAGGGAGCCTGACAGAGGGCTCCATCTCATGAACCGTGAGATCATGACCTGAGCCAAAATCAAGAGTCGGGTGCTTAACCAAATGAGTCACCCATGCCACTCTACTGGCATACTATATACTTATTTATTTACTACCTGTCTGCCCCATTAGAATATAACTTACCTGAGGATGCCAGGAAATTTAATCACTGCAATCTCAGCGCTTGTGAAGAGTACCTGGTTTACAGTTGATGCTCAGTATTTATTGAATGAGTGATTCAATGTTATTTATTGCATGTTAATAGATATTAATCCAATCTTCTTGTCACCTAGCTGAGGTATATTTAGACGGACGATATAAAAGGGCACAAAGACAGTGATTTCAGAGTGCACCTTTAGGGCCTTATTTGTAGGAGCCACTCAGTAAACAGATTAAAATGAATGGAATTCTTGGGGCTAGAGAAAAAACCTGAGCAAAGCGGGGGACTGGAAGTTTATAAAGAGCCAGAGCCAGGAGGCACCAAGTTCTAAGGGCTTGGGGAAACAGGAGGGAGAATGAGAATGAACCAAAGACCAATGCCCTCTTCCCTAACAATGTGTCCCAGGTAGAGAGCCTAGACTGCTCTCTATGAAACTGACCACTCACAAGGGCCTCAAGAAATGTCTCAACCTTTGTGGGTCCTCTCCCTAGAAAACAGATCCATGAGAGAAGAGTGTCCCCAGAGCTTTGAGGTCTGAGCATATAAGGGAAGGGAGCCTGTTAGGCTAGACAAGAACAGCAACCCATTCTGCACCTGACACTACTTGGAAAAT